GGAACAGAGTACTTATAGTCACTTAAGATATTTTATGCAAAGAAGACATAAAATAATTTAATCAAAATGTTTGTTAAGTTCATAACAACATTTTTGTAATCACTATCAAAAAGTTTAATTGATAAAACATAATACAATAAACTTTGTGTACAATCGTTGTTTAAAATTAAAATAACATTATACAAATTTAAATAATTTTCTAGATGGTTTAATATATTTTGAACAACATGGATATATGTACACATATACAGTAAAAAGCATTAAATGTACTTGTCTTATCTAAAATGAACTCTTTTTTTCTTTTCAAGGGGATATTCACGGTCAATACTATGACTTATTGCGTTTATTCGAGTATGGCAGTTTTCCACCTGAGTCCAACTACTTATTCTTGGGTGATTATGTCGACCGTGGCAAACAGTCTCTGGAGACGATATGTCTGTTGTTGGCATATAAAATAAAATACCCCGAAAATTTCTTCCTTTTACGTGGCAATCACGAATGCGCTAGTATAAACAGAATATATGGGTTTTATGATGAATGTAAGTAATAATTAAAACGATTTTAAACCTTTAATCTAATAATTTATTTATATTATTTTTAGGTAAGCGGCGGTATAATATAAAGCTCTGGAAAATATTTACTGACTGTTTTAATTGTTTGCCTGTGGCAGCAATTGTTGACGAAAAGATTTTTTGTTGTCATGGAGGTCTTAGTCCTGATTTGCAGTCAATGGAACAAATTAGGCGGATTATGAGGCCAACGGATGTTCCTGATCAGGGATTATTATGTGACTTGCTTTGGTCTGATCCTGACAAAGTAATAATATTATATTATTTAATATTTATACTTATAAATGTATTTAAAATACTTAACTGTGTTATTTTTTTTTAAGGATACAATGGGTTGGGGAGAAAATGACAGGGGTGTATCATTTACATTTGGTGCTGAGGTTGTGACAAAATTTTTGCATAAACATGATTTTGATCTCATATGTAGGGCTCACCAGGTTTGTAAATTTTTTATTAACTAAATTAATATAGTTAATTTATTTTGTAATTTTATTTTTAGGTTGTAGAGGATGGTTATGAGTTCTTTGCAAAGCGCCAGTTGGTCACTTTATTTTCAGCACCAAATTATTGTGGAGAGTTTGATAATGCTGGAGCAATGATGTCTGTCGACGAAACTCTAATGTGCTCATTCCAGATTTTAAAGGTATGAATGTTATTGAATTAATTTTTACAAATTGGAGCTTATTACCCACAAGTATTTTTTTTGTACTAAAATTACTTTTTACATTAATTATTATTAACTTTAGTAAGGGACATAGCTGTGTTAGGGTGAGTTTGGTTAGAATTTTTTTTAATTGATTACAATAGTGCACTAAAACACTGTTCTACCTAGATATTCTACTAACAATTTCTAGTATATATTTAAAGTAAAATATATAATTCAAGAAATTATATTACATGTGGGGTTTTTAATTTGGTTTTAATATTTGGTTGGTAACTTGAATATTATATTTTTAGTATAATCTTGTTCAATTTATATTAATGACTTGAGATAGTATAGAGATTCAAAAAAAATATGTTGGACAATTAAAAACATTGTAAATGTTTCCTGTTTTCAAATAATAAAAAAGTATGCAAGAGTTTAAATTAATAATAATACTTAAACTTGTTTTATTTGTTTTAAAGACTGATAGATTCAAATACTGGAGACGCATAAAATTCTATGATGCTAATGCATCTTTTCCGTTGTCTAATTAGTAAGTCTGAATGGGGCAATCTTTTAAAACCTTTCCTATAGCTGTTCATATTTATTTTCTTATTGACCTACATTATTTTTTAACTGCACGAATTATAATAGAGCAGAGTCCCAAGAATCTGAGTATGCCAATTCCTACCCTTTATTATTAATTTAAATGTTTAATTAACATATAATATATTCATACAGATTTCTGGTTATAACCTGGGTATTAATACATTTATATATAAAATTAGCATGATTAGTGATAATTGTTGTTAATTCATTACGAGATTCTTAAAGTTATAGAAATAAATAATAATTGCTTGTCAAATTCAATATTTTCATAATGTTGGATATTGGCCTGTTTGTAAAATCATTTCTAGCTAAGTAGTATATATTTATATACAGTGTGTGTATGAAAATAATAATAAGATTTGTGTAAACCGTAAAGGATATTATCTAGTTTATAAAATAAAAACCGCATCTAATACCATAGTCGTTCTCAAGATGCTTTCACAGGAGGAAACTAACTCTATAATTTAGTACCTGCAAATAGGGTTTAACCTTATTAGTTAAACATTAAAGTATGACAAGTAGTCTCTCCAGTAACGACAAAGAAAGTCAAGCCAAAGATAAAATGGCAATAGCTAAATTGCTGCTTTTGTACTGTACAAACTCATTCAAGGTAACCAATCTCGAGATCTTGACACAGTTATGATAAATTAAATTATTTTACCTATTGTAAACGTGTTAACTCAAACTAAATTATTATTATTGTAATATTTTGTTTAGTATTAATTACTAACTTTAACATGCAAAAAAAGTAATGAAATAATAATTATACATTAATTTTATAAACTATTTGTGCAATAGTCTAATTGATCTTTTAAACTATAAATATTTATTCCAGCCGGCCGACAAACGAAAGTACATGTATGGAGGATTGTCATCAGGCAGACCAGTTACACCACCCAGAGGATCTGGTAAACAAGGAAAAAATAAAAAATAACCAATCTTGATGCAATATATATTTCTATACCTATGTATGCAACAACAAAGTATAATTTTAAAAATTAAATGTTACATAATATGAAAAACAAATGAAATTTTTTTTTATAGAAAAAAAATTATACCGAGAAACTAGTTTAAATAATAATGTATTTATATCATTAAGTACCTTTATGCTCCATCATAACGTAAAATCTCAAGATCAACTTTATTAACTTGTAATTTGGAGTATTTTTAATAATTTAATATTATTATTGATATATTGTATTTGCACTTATATTTTTTTTCGTACTCGGTCGTTTTTTTCCTTTCCTTTTTATTTGTTTTTAGTTTAAGTATTCATTATATTTTATTTTTGCTAACTTAGTTTTGTCCATAAATTTAAAACTACATACGATTACTACAAAAAAAGAAGTTGCAATTTATTCGGAATATTAATTGTTCTAAATAATTTGCAATCGAATCATATTTGTTATTTGTCAGACATTTTTAGCTCATGTATTTTATTGTAACTAAGATGTATTTATAAAAATTTAAAAAATCAAAATCCCAAAGTTAAGTACAACATTATAATTATTGTTATTTATTGTTTTGTGTATTTAGATTACACTTTCGTTATAAAACCATTATAACATAATATTGTACATTTTTTGTAGAAATACGTAAATCAGAACACAAAACATATTATATGAAAGTGTTGAATACTATCCCAATCGATATATTAAAACAAATCACATACAATGTAAATATCAATATTTTAATGTTAAAATTATACTGTAAATGTATGTTATGCATTAAAAATTTAATGCACAGATACATTAAAAGTAGTAAAATGTAATTTATTTAATGAACTTCTTGGATTACTTTTTTTGGCAATAAACAAAAACCTTGCCTACATAACACTTATTGTAATTTGTTGATAGCGTATGTATTATTTTATTATAAACCAAATTAAAAAATACTGTGTTTTTGTTTGCTGAACCCTTTGTAAATAAAACAAAAATTAAAATATATTTGCTGCCAGTTTTGAACAATACAAAATACCAGAAATTACTTGTTGGATATTTTATATTTAACTATTTATTAGTTGGACTAGTTGGAGCATTTATAATATGTGTAATAAAATTATATTAGTATCATAAATTATAATATATGGTTTCCAAAAATCAAATATTGTAAGTTTGGTCATTGGTCTGCTAATGGTAGATAATGAAGAGGTGGATTATAAATTCAGCCTCTTCTTATTTTTCCGATAATACTTAAAATAACACGATTGTAGGAAAAAAATAACGAAGGTGTATTATTTTCTTATCTTGTACACACCGTCAAAAATAGATCGGATTCGGGAAAAAATTAACCTGGAAAGTCACTGCAGCAGCTGCTGCTGTACGGTTGTATGTTCGAGCATAGAAATAATCATGAAGACAGAAATACAGAATAAGGAGACAACTCGTGCGGCCGCCCGCGTGAAAAAAGTAAAACGAGTCTCACAGTCTACACTCTACATCGTGCATTTACCCTTAGATCATATCGGCTGCTTATTCGTGAAACACAGTGTATTTCACAAAATTGTTCAGAAGAGACATTTTAGTGAAGATGCTCTGCATTTCACTTTCACATAGATGGCGTTTATTTGAATGAAATTATTATTTTTAGGTACCAAAGAAGTATTGAATATATACCTTATTATTAATTTTGTCTCATCTTATAATTATAGTCCTTGTGTAAACTGGAAAAATGTGTTATATAAAATTGTTATTAAATTTGCGAACCATCAAAAAAAAAATTAAAACGCAGTTAATGATCTAACTGTGTTGCTTATTTGGTTATTGCATTTATGAATCATTAGAAAAAAAAATTAAAAGAGACTGGTCACGAAGTGGTTGGAGGGTGTGGGGGGTTAACCTTGACTACGAAATTTATACAACAGGCGGAGTTCGGCCGTTCGGGGCCCATTTAAACGGTAAACGGAAAAAAAGTCTCCCGTTGCAGTATAAATAAAACGATATTTCCGCTATACTTGTTATTTTATTTATAAAATAAATTTACCTGACAAATCTTATCTGTAGATAGTACATGACAATTAATTGACATAATCTGTAGTTTGGCAGTTACACACAGTACCATCACGATTATAAAGAACAAGTTCTTTACAATCGTGAGTACCATATACCTATCATACGTATCCAGTTTCGTATTAGTTTCGAGTTGTACGCGAGTCGCGAGTGTAGTTTAAGTGTTTTACCATGGAACTTATTAAATCAAACAAGGGAAATCATAAAATTGCACTAAATGGGTATACTTTTTCGATAAAAAAGATATGCCAACGTATAATCCAATGGAAATGTTCCGAAAAATCGTCGATGAAATGTACAGCAATGTTAATTACTAATTTGAAAGTGAAAAAAATCATACGATTTGAAGAAGAACACTGTCATGGTGCTAATAAAGGTGCGATAGGGGCAATGAAAATAAAACAAACGATAAAGGAATGTTCAATTCAGACTTGCAACAATCCAACCAATCCAGGACAAATTTTTGCTCAAGCTGTACTAAATGTACCAAAAGAGATATTAATTACCATCCGAAGATTCAATAAAAAGAAGTAGGTATTCGTAACCTAAGAAGCAGTTTAAACCCGAAAAATCCAAATAGTCTACAGGAACTTGTTATTGAAGGTAATTTGCATTACTTACCTATTATTATAATAATTTATAAATGGCTTGGTTTACTACAAAATAGTTTTTAATAAAACTATATAACATGTATTACCTATGTCCTATGGGCTAAGTACCTATGTAAATACCTATATGATAAAAGACTGAATTTAAATCAAATATTAATTTGGAGACTTTTTCCGTGGGACTTACCGGGGACTTTTTTCCTAATATCCATTTAAACAGCCAGTGGCGTGGTGAATGGGGTTTTATGACGCCTAGGCGTCATGGTGAATTTTTTTTTTTTGGGGTGGGGTGGTTGGGTACATTATGGTAACCAATAACATACAACAAAAAATTAAAATATTTACAGTTCCATAATAATTATATGTATTATATATTATATTAAGGGGATAAAGAAGGGGTAGGTACTGAAATATATGCTGGGCATCAAGATTTATAAATGTTCACCACGCCACTGTAAACAGCAACAGGCTAGGCTGCGTACGCTAGGGTTGCACTTAAACCCGCTTAGTAGGTATAGAAATTATTTCTGGAAAATACATGCATTATTTTGAAACTACCCTTTTTATATTTTACAGCTTCAAGCTTGCAGACTGCAGTATTACACATTTATAGTTAAAGTACCGTTTGGTAATAACATTGAATATAAATACTATTTATAGCAGTGCCGTAGACAGGAATTTTATATGAGGGGGGGGGGGTTATTATAATAATAACATGTTATAGTAAATTAAGAAAAAATAACAAATTATTTTTATTTTTATATCTTTATTTTAGTGTCTTATAAGTTATAATATCAGATCTATTTTTCTTTTAGATTCTGAGTGAAACGATGAATGTATTGATTTTACAATGATGTGTGTTTTTTTTTGTGTCTGTCATCACGTTTTAGGACAGTAAAAGTGCTTTGATTTTCTTCAACAGTAGCTTTTCTGATAGGAAAGTGAATCTAGTTGGTACTTTGGGGGGTCAAAAGTAACAATTTCCCAGTAGTTTTCACAAGTGCCGGGAAAAACAACATAAAAATTAAGGAAAAACGGGAATTTGGTTTTCCAAAAAATCGATTTTGGTTTTTAGTGTAACTCTAAAACAAATGGTATACATGAAATTTTCACTGGTTGTTTATATTTGCATTTTCTATACACGATAACATTTTCAAAATATTTTGATTTATTTTGAACTGTTTAAGCTTATTTTTATTTTCCATTTTTTTTAGTTTTTTTTCTAAAAATATCAATAAAATTTTATTTGATGGTTGCGAAAGCTTGAAAATTTAATAGAAGGCTCCTAGTATATTGTTTCAAAGGCAGATGAAAAATATTAAAAATCCTTAGTCACAATTTTTTTCTATAAGCATTTAAAGTTCAAAAATTGACAAAATATGGAAAAATCACGAAAATTAGCAAATTATTTTGAGTTAAGAATTCGTAAAAATTTTTCTTTTTAAATCTAAGATTTGAAAATGTAATACAAGATTCCTTATAAGATTATCTACCTTTATCAAAACAAAAATGTCTATAAGAAAGTCAAATTAAATTTTTATGAGCGTTTGAAATTCAAATTTTTACAACATTGGATATTCACTCGATTTCTCATGTAGCGATTCCTTATTTTGTTGTAATTCAAAAACGAATAACTGTAGATACATGAAAATTTCACTGAATGTTCATATTAGCATTTTCTATACACCATAATTTTGAAAGTATTTTGACTCTTTTTCAGCTGTTTGACTGATATTTCAAAGTCTAACATCTCAGCCAATCTCTATTTAAAAATATAATTATAGTTAAAAAAATGAACATTAAAATTGAATTAAGGCATTCATTACTTGAGCTTCTTTGAACATTTTTTTAAATTCATGATCTACATTTTCCCTTAAATTGTTAAGAACCTTGATACTGATATTGGCCAAACTGATCATTTCTCTCAAATCTATGTTTTTTTTTAGCACTGTTTTAACTTTTAAAGTTTTAACTATAATACTGATAATACCTAATTAATATGTTATCTTAAATTTCAGTATTATCAACATAGGCGCACATTGGGTGTGAATTTAGGGGGTGCTGGGATAATTTATGGTTCACAGATCCGTGGGGGGCTTTGCCCCCCACACCCCCCTTATCCTGATATTTCTGCATTGCATTAGATTTAATTTGTATAGTGTATACAATAATTTCTAAAGTTATAAATTTTTAACTATAAAATTATTATTAAATTTTAAATGTGATAAATTTTTGATAAAAAATGAATTCGTGAATTCGTAAACAGTTGTCAATATTTGTAATGAAAAGAAAAATTCCGAACCAATAAACCACGATAGTTTATAAATGATTGGTGAAATACTGAAATAAACTGAGGGTGCTAGTTTGAAGCTTTAAGCACCCCCCTATGTGCGCCTATGATTATCAACATGAACATTTAATAAGATTATCAATTATCACAGTAACAAAACGGTTATGGTAATGGTGATTTGTCATTGCGACCATTAGACGATACACAAAATACCTTACTTATAACCGATAACAACACAAACATCTAAAATATTATTAATAGGTAACTATTATTGATAAAATTTTTTTTTTTAAATATATAAGATATATTCAGGCGCGTAGCTAGAAATTTCAAAGGGGGGGTGTTATTCAAACTTAAGAGGACGCTAAGACGCGTGTGTTGTCTCTGTCTTACACACGCACGACATAACAAATTGTCGTTCACTATTTTCAATAGTGAGCTGTTAGTTTTGATACTAGACTACTAGAGTGAATCGACATATTATCAAACTTTTAGGTAAGAACATTATCTGGGTCTTAGCTTGGGCGATTTTTCGATACTTTCACTTTTGAGAAAAATAAGTGTATGGAAATATTAAAAATGCTCATATCTCGCTTGAAAATTATTTATTATACAAACGTATTACAACTTACCCGTGAATAGATAATAGTTTAGAATAATAGTTCTCTTATATAATATTATTATCAATAAAAAAAAAATGAATACATTTTTAAATTAACTTAATGTGTCGACTTTTTGAGGCTAGTGTATCTATTATTTCGTCTGTGGTTACGACTAAATCTCGATGAATATTTATAACAGCTGCTAAGCCATTCGAGCGATTTTCACCAGTTGTATTTCTTAGATATGTTTTAAAGCGTCTTAATGAGGAAAAAGACGTTTCACTGCTTGCAGTTGTTACAGGTAAAGTAATCAATACTTGTAAACGTCGATAAACAGTAGGAAATATGTCTTCGTTGCTGTCAAAGAAGGCTTCGGTAACATTTTTAGGATTTTTAGGATTTTTATTTTTTATATGTTTATACCATATTGCAAACTCACCAATTGCAGATATTTCATCAGCTTCAATATCTGAAGAATATGTCTTAAGAAGTTCTTTAAATTCGGTATCATTTTAGATTCTGAGTGAAACGATGAATGTATTGATTTTACAATGACGTGTGTTTTTTTTTTTTTTTTTTTTTTATTTATTTTTTTTTTTATTATTTATTTTTATTTTTATATTTATTTTTTTTGTGTCTGTGTACACGATAAGTAGTCGAAATAATGCTTCGATTTTCAACTTCAGTATCTTGTTCGATTGGAAAGTGAATATCGTTGGTGCATTGGGGAGGTCAAAATTTAAATTTCCCAGTAGTTTTCAAAAGCGCCGGGAAAAACAAAATAAAAATTAAGGAAAAACGGGAATTTTTACGCAAAATCGGTTTTCCAAAAAATCGATTTTGGTTTTTGGTGTAACTTTAAAACAAATAACCGTAGATACATGAAATTTTCAGTGGTTGTTTATTTTTGAATTTTCTATATACGATAACATTTTCAAAATATTTTGATTTATTTTGAACTGTTTAGGGACATTTTCAGTTTCCAATTTTATTAGTTTTTTTTTTTATGAATATCGATAAAAAATTATTTGTTGAGTAAAAATACTTGAAAATTTAATACAAGGCTCCTACTATATTGTTTCAAAGACAGATGAAAAATATTAAAAATCGTTAGTCACAGTTTTTTTTTTCAAGCATTTAAAGTTCAAAAAATGACAAAATATGGAAAAATCACGAAAATTTGCAAATTATTTCGAGTTAGAAATTCATAAAAATTTTTCTTTTTAAATCTAAGATATAAAAATGTAATACAAGATTCCTTATAAGATTTCCTACATTTATCAAAAAAAAAATTCTATAAGAAAGTCAAATTAAATTTTTATGAGCGTTTGAAATTCAAATTTTTACAACATTGGATATTCACTCGATTTCTCATGTGGCGAATTCCTTATTTTGTTGTAATTCAAAAACGAATTACTGTATATACATGAAAATTTCACTGAATGTTTATATTAGCATTTCCTATACACCATACAATTTTGAAAATATTTTGACTCTTTTTGAGCCGTTTACGGACATTTTCAGTTTTCAATTTTTTTAGTTTTTTTTTCTATAAATATCAATAAAGTTTCATCTGTTGGGCCAAAAAGTGTAAAAAATTAATACAAGGCTCCTGATATATTGTTACAATAGCAATTGAAAAATATTAAAAATACATAGGCACAATTTTTTTTTATAAGCATTTAAAGATCGCATTTTGACAAAATTTATCAAAATCTCGAAAATTATCAACCATCGTAATTAATAAATTATAAAATGTTCAGTTTTTATAGCTAAAGATTGAAAATTTAAAAAAAAGATTCCCATAAATAGTTCATACTGTAGCCAAAAAATCTAAAAAATATATGAGCACAGTTATTTTTTATAGACATTTTAAGTTCAAATTTGGGACGAAATTACATATTAAAAAACCTAGCATACCTATTTTAGTCATTTTGTTGTGAGTGTATAATACTATTCGTGGGTACTTGAAACTTCTAAAGTACACTATATTATATATCAATGATAGTATCAGGGTTTGTTATTGATGTATAACGTGTTATAAGTACCTAGTGGATATTGTGATATGATTAATTTAGAATTTATTATAGGTCAATTTTTTTTCTAATACCATAGATATGTATATAATATGTCTTAAACCTAGACTGACATACCGTCTTCGCTCAGAATCGTTTTTCTTATACAATGATATTGTATCATTGAATTCAAATTTAATACCATCCATTATACAGTGACCCACTTGTAACCTACTGTACAGCAGAGCGACATCCACTTACCCACCTTTTTTTCATTTGCATTTATTAAACAAGTAAATTGTTTTAATAGTGATTTATGGTTCAAAAATCTGTCATTTAGTTGCTCACAGAAATGATCCAAAAAAGGTACAAAAATCAAAATCCTAAAATAGACTTCCGGTGATTCTGTTGAAATTCTAAAACGATTTGTTCGGTTTATAGCTAGTCGAGGTATTGAAATTGTAATCCCCAATGATAGTTGATACCATAGAGTAACACTCTAATGATGAAGTTGTAAAAAAGTTGTAAATACTCTGCATTAAAAGATATCTTGTAGGTATCGTACATGAAACGAGTCAACGATAAACTGACACAGAATGGTATAAAATAATAATTATCTAATTCCGTGTGCCCGTGTCCAGGTTTAAATTATAAAACATAGTACACCACGGTTGAGGGGGGGTGTTACTACACCTGTAACACCCCCCCTGGCTACGCGAGTGGATATATTAGTAGTCTTAAATATTTGAAATAAATTTATAAACTTTCCAAGGGGTGGGCGGGTTGAACCCCCTACCCCCCCCCCCCGTGTCTACGGCCCTGATTTATAGTATTTATAATCAATGGTAATAATTAGGGCAGGGATTTTGATGCAAAGGCATATTTTTTTCTGTTGTTTTGAAACGTTGATCCGTAAGTATGAAATGTGTTTTGGGTGATACAGATTATTTTTAAGTATTTTTTATTTTGCATTTTTTTGCACTTTTTGACAAAATTATCCTTAAATGAATTTTCAGGACATTTTTTGACGTTTTTAGTGCATTTTCTTAATTTTTAGAGCATTTTATCACAATTTCTTCATAATATGAACGAAAATTGTTCCGATTCACAAGAAACATTCGGCAAACTGCCGACGGTAGGAATATATGATACAATATACCTATTAAAATTTATTTATATATAGTATCATATATTCATATAAATCATTTCATCATAGCTAGGCTATTCCCCCAAAATTATCACCGTTATATAAATATTATGAATTATTATTTTTATTACACACCATACATGATAGTATGATACATACATACGTAGGTACAAGTTATCGTTGATAACAATTTTATCATAGTTAGGCTTAGATAAACATTACTGATACAGCAGTGCAATAGCGATTTTGTTCAGGTTAGTATTAAGGGGCCTCATTAGTCATTAATGTGCGTTTTTTTCTCAAAAACTACTGTTTCTAATTCCAACGTTACGTGTCGAGAACTATCACGATTTTCATTCTGAAAAAATATTCTGATTGTCAGTAATAATATGTACGAGGGATCGATCGAGCCACATTTTTGATTTTAATAATTTAGATTGCAATAAATGTTGTTAAAATTTTCATAATTTCAACCTTAAATATTTAATCAATTAAATATAATTATAAAAATTCCCTCGATCGATCCCTCGTACATGTTGTAGAAAATTAGAATATTTTGTCAGAATAAAAATCGAGGTAATCGTTCCGACATATTGTTGGAATTAGACTTGTCTGTTTTAGTGGAAAATAAAATTTTTTTTCGTGATCACAAAATATAATCCGACATGTGCGTGCGAGTGCGAGCGAGTTCCTTCCGTACCCGTACACACAATATCAATTATTACCGTCGCGTCGCGTTCCTAGAAAAGTTCAGGTAACGTCTATACTTATAATTTAGTATAATAATATTAGTAATAGTAAATACATATATTTAGATTTCGGTATTATATTATTATGTTTATTGAATACCTAGGTGGGTACAGTACTATAAAGGTAGGTAGGTATAATTGTTTTTCTAAATTATTTTCCTCGGCTATCGAATGTTAGCATTATTCGACAGTCAACAACCATCCCGTCAAGTTCGATTTTATTATTTTAAAATGAGTTCAAAATATGCACCGAAAACAAAAATTGCACTATCGAAAAGAAAAAAACACAGAGGATTTATAAATTCAATTAGAAACCCCCACACCGTGAAACAAAGAAATGTAGATGAGACTCCGTAAGTATTTTTTTTTATAATTTATAGATGTAAAATATAATATAATAGGTATTATATATTATATTATATAATATTATTATATGTTGATTATTTAATTTTGGATTATATAGAAAAAACGGTAATTTTGATCGAATGCAAAATGACAGTCCAACTCAATTTTTTGCCGAAGTAGAAAATACAAAATTGAATACTAGCACTTCACCCATTAAAAACAATGATCCCAAAATACAAAGTTTATCAATACATTAAAATTTATATCAAATCATAGTTCCAAGACTTTTTATCAGATTTATCGTAAATAATAATAAATTAAAATTGTATATAGCTTTTAATTTAAAAAAAACTACTACTACTACTACTATTAAATTTGCTTAAATGTTTATATTATGTTTCATTATTGGCTTGCACTGACTTCAAACTGAAAAAAAAAATATTTTTAGTTTTGTTCTAAACTATTTTAGTTATACCTAATATTATCTTATTCTAATTATTTACCAGTTTTACTTATGATGATCAGCAAAACAGTTTCGGTTTTTTGTAATGCAAAGTGAAACGTTACATACTGCACACATCCACTCAGTTCTAACTTCTTTTTCTCTTGTGCTGCATTTTGCACATCTTCTTCTTATCGATATTTTCGGTTGATGAGCTGATTTTTCCAAACGAAGAGACTCAGGTACAAAAGGCTTGTGTTTTATAATTTCCACTGGTGATTTTTTTAGTGCTTTTAGATTGACGTTTACAAACAATTGTTTTGTTTAGTAGCTCCCTTGGAATAATATCACGTCGGAAGTTTTTCATAGTTATTGTTGTTCCAGTGGATTTTGTATATATAACATGTGAATTTACAACTGCTATATCGATGAAATGAAAAAATATACGGTGCCACCATTTTTGGCTTTTGCAGTCAATTTGGCAGGACTTTTTGTTTTGATTTAATTTATCGACCCAATTCATGTTTTCATTATGGTCTTTTAAAACTTTCGGGCAAGGTATCATTGTCAAAGTTCCGTCTTTAGCTCTAGTAGGTACAATATCAGTGTCAGTTGGATTATGGAAATTAGATAAAAGACTAACTGATCGTTTATCTTTCCATTTAATAATTGATATTGAAAATTGATCGGTATTCCAATCATATTCTCCTTGTTTTAAGGACTTGTTATCTTTTAGCTGTGGTAAATGTTTTCTTGTCATGTTTACTGTTCCACAAGCATAAATCCCATTTGATTTCAAGTACGACATAAGCGGATAACTATAGTGAAATAGTTGTCAAAGTATAAAAAATAGTTTTTATTTTTAAGTGGTGCAGATAAGTTTTTCACTACACGTGCTCCCAAATATTTTTCTACCGTATCACCAGCCTTGCCTGTATAGACATCAAAATTCCAAAGGTACCCGTACTTGTCTGCCAAAGCCCATACTTTATATCCTCTTTTTATGGGTTTTTTAGGCATATATTGTTTTGATGAATGACGGCCTTTAAATTTTATCATTGATTCATCTATAGCTACTATTCTATTTGGATTGTATACTGCCTGACTATTTTTTAAAATTAAATTGAGAAATAGCCTTACCTTGTACAATTTATCCTAGTTGGCGTCTCCTTTTTTTGGAATTACGGAATTGTCGTTCAGATGTAAATGTGATAACAACCAACTAAACCTATTCACTGGCATAATATTATACTTACATAATCATCGTGTAAATCTGGAGCAGAAGACCAGTAATCCCGATAGCTGCATGGTTTTTTTATACCCATTAGTAAATTCAAACCAATAAAATCATTTATTTCATTAGTATTTGTTTCTGAGTAAGGTTTTCCATTTTTTAAGTAAATTTGATTAGCATATAAATTTGTTTGAAATGTAATGTAGTTAATTATTTCATCTGTGATTAAAAGTTTAAATACAGACAGCGGAGTAATTTCAGTTATTGTATCTAAAATATAAGTTGGCCCTTGTGAACAGTCAAATGGAACAATTTCAATATTTATATTATTTTTCTTCGACCAAATAGGTTCGATAAACTCAGTTTGTTGAAATGTACTATTTTCAGGTATAACATTTTCATCCGGTAAAGGCACAGCAAGTTCTTCATTTTCTCTTATTTCAATATTTGGCACGGTGGGACATATAATGTACGCTCATTATTGCACAAATATTGGGCCATATATTTAGAACAGCTAATCAAAACCAATATTAAATTAAACTATAATATTATATTTAGAACTAAATGAAAAAAAAAATCATACAAATCGGTCGATTCGATGAGGAGAAAATTAAACATTAAGTTTTAAAAATAAATTTTTAAATATAATAATTTGAAAAAAATAATTAACAGATATTTAATAATCGTAGACTTCTAGAAATGTACACGCATGAGCCATATATAATGGAAAACATATTAAATATCTTAAATTAAACCAACAAACTACTAAAAATAGAAAAAAAAATATTTTATAGGTGGTATACTATTTGTGCCACCGTGCCGTGCCGTTCTGGTAGAAAAATTCGGCCGTTAAAACATGCTTTCGTGCTTCCCATTTTCCTCTGCTCTCGTTAGTCGTAGAAACATGATTTTTCACTAAAATAAACGTGAGAAGTTCTTCTACATTATTACGAAACCAATTTTTTTTTCAAACAGATTATATTTGCATTTTAAATTTATCAAAATGTTTAAATATTTAAAAAATCATATAAAATAGACAACAAAACATTTTAAAAATCTGGTTTCGTAATAATTTAGAAGAACTTCTCAAGTTTATTTTGGTGAAAACATTATGTTTCTACAACTAACGAGGGCTGAGGAAAATGGGAATAGTACCTACGAAAACATGTTTTTGGAACGAAAATTAGAAATTTACAGCCGTCATGTGCTGCTCTGCCGACAATAGCGGTAGCGTTCGATAACAGACATATCATTTTTAAAACTAAATAAGGTAGTTTTGGATTGGGATAAAGAAGTATTAATAATCCCAGAAAAAGTAATTAATAACGCACTAATTATTCCGCCGAGGAGTAATTGTGTATTACAAATAAAAGCCGACGAAGAAATCAATTGCGAAGCAATAACGATAAAGAAATATGAAATTAATGAAGACGTAATTATAGCTAATAGTATCAGTCCGGTCAAAGGTGATAAAATAATAAGTAATATAATAAATATATCCGAACAACCGTTTATAATCGAACAATTAACCACGAGTAATTTTAAATGGGAACCGTACCACGATAACGTTTTTATTGCTAGCGAAAGCAACAACTACTCTTCGAATAGAATTAAAAGGATCAAAGAAACTATTAATACCGAGCATCTTAATCACGAAGAACGCGATAACATATTAGACCTGTGTAGTCGTTTTTCTGATCTATTTTTTCTCGAAGGCGATCTTTTGAGTGCAACTGACATTGTTACGCATAAAATTAATACACCTAGGTGTGTTAAACCGATTAACATACGTCCATATAGGTTACCGCACGCGTATCAGGACGAGATAGAAAAACAAGTAAAAGAAATGAAAGACGCGAATATAATACGTAATTCGTTATCACCATTTAATTTTCCATTAGTGGTAGTAAAAAAGAAAAAAGATCTGAACGGTAACCAAAAGTTACGAGTATGTGTAGATTTCCGAAAATTAAACGAGGTTACGGAAAATGAAGCATACGGCTTACCAAATATATTAGAGATACTAGAATCCTTAGGCTCATCTAAGTACTTCTCTACACTTGATCTTGCCAGCGGTTATCATCAAATAATGATTGATAAGGGAGACACCCATAAAACAGCATTTTCTACAAAATCAGGGCATTATGAATTTTTACGCTTACCATTTGGACTTAGTTCTGCGCCGGCAACTTTTACTCGAGCCATGAAATCTATTTTAATGGGCTTGGAAGAGTTATGTACGGCGTATCTAGATGACATTGTAGTCCACGGGTCAAGTTTAGTAGATCATCAGAATAGGTTAGAGCAGGTGTTTACGCGATTAAGACTACATAAACTGAAATTGCAACCTAGTAAATGTATGTTTCTACGTAAAGAGGTGTTATATTTAGGGCACGTGATCAGCGAAAACGGGGTAACTCCTGATCCAAACAAATTAAGTTGTATTAAATATAAAGAATATCCGAGACCACTAAACGAGAAAGACGTAAAGTCATTCTTAGGTTTATTAAATTATTACCGCCGATTCGTTGATAACTTTGCCAAAATAGCAAAACCTCTTACTAGCTTATTAAAGAAAAACACACCGTTCGTGTGGACGGACATGTGTGAAGACGCATTCCAAGAATTAAAAAACGCGTTAATGAATCCACCTCTACTTATCTACCCTAATTGGGAAAACGGAAATTTTAACCTCGTGACCGATGCAAGCCAATACGCAATTGGAGCGGTCTTGTCTCAAGGTGACGTACCTAAAGATCAACCCATAGCTTACGCAAGTAGAACTTTAAATACCGCCGAAACAAACTATAGCGTAATACAAAAAGAATTGTTCGCGATAGTATGGGCTGTAAAGTATTTTAGGCCTTATTTATACGGAAAAAAATTTAAAATAATCACCGATCACCGTCCATTAACGTATTTATTCAATATAAAAGACGTTTCGTCTCAGTTAATGCGATGGCGATTACAGCTCGAGGAATACGATTACGAAATAATCTATAGAGCAGGCCCACAACATTCGAACGCGGATTGCTTATCACGTATACATGTTGTTACCAATGATGAGCCAATTAGCGATTTCGAAGAGTTTAAAAAAGCAGAAGCTAAACCGATTTTTAATTCCAAAATAACTGAAATAGAGGGAAGTATAAAACACGCGCAAAATAATGAAAATATAATTTTACCTATTTCGGATGATAAAATAATAACGCATCCAGCGATAAGAGATGTAATAAGCAATAACGATTTACCACAGCAGGTAATTTTTAATGATAATAATAAATTTGTTTCGATTGAACAAACCGACAAATTAGTAATATTCTACAATCTTAAAAACAATCATTATACGAAAATTAACGCCGAGAATTATTACGACGCTATTAAAGAGATTAAAATATATTGTATTGAAAAACGAATTAATCAATTCTCGACTATCAGGCTAGAAGGGTTAACTACGTTGACCTGCTACGAGCGCATACGCACGATGTTCCGTTACATATTCCGAAACACTGATATAGCAGTAACTATTTATAAAAAACAAATTTTTACGGATGACAACGGAAATATAACAATAAAGATGGGGAGGAAGGACTATAGGATCCACGTAAATAATACAAAAAAACATATTTCGAGACCGATTTATGAACACTTCAGTGTCATAAATCATAATATATATATATTTTTAGCTATAGGATCCTTCAATTTTCTTTTATTGTTATAAGTAGCCATAAACTAGTCATTGTTATATTATTATCATAGGTGAAAACATATTAAGTTAACCAATTACATAAAAAAAAAAAAAAAAAAAAAATAAGGTTATTAATTATTATGATAATTTTAATAAAGTCTATAAATAATAAATAGGTATAAAATAATAATAACGTGGATAAGGATTTAATTACGAAGTTTTTATTTTTCTCGGTGGGGAAAAAATTAAAAAACAAATCCAATAATCCATACATCTCTCAGACATTACAATATATTATTCCAATGACAAAATTGTATTTAATGTAAATGTATTTTTTTTTAGTATACCAACATGAATTAACCCTTTTTCAGCTAATACCAATACCAAATTGTGACGAAAATAATTGTTTATATGTAAAACCTAATCATAAATATTTAGCTATAAGTAAATCCAAAGAATTGTATTCCACTTATGACGAAATCGATAGAAGTCAATGTAAACATGCCAGTGATTTCCTCATGTGTCCTGAAATATATCCTTTACATCCTAGAAGTGTACGCCCCATATGCGAGGTGCTTCTACTACAAGATCCAAAGGAAGTTCCGGAGGGTTGCGAGATAATGCATGTACAGTTACAGACAAATTTATTTCACAAATTAAAATTCAAAAATGACTGGATTTATGCTACTCCAGGTGAAACCATATTTATAACATGCGATCATGACAAAAGAAGCATGAACCACTTCTTAGAGGGAGTAGGAATATTGTCACTTAACGAAACATGTAAAGCATACGCGACACGGGACATATTGATTCCGCACATAGTGGAAACCGACACCGAGTATGTCGACTTCATACCAAATTCCAGAATGAGGGAACCCGCAGGAATATATGCGGGCTTGACCAACAACATTTTAAAAAATAAACACGTACGAACAAATCAAATGTTCGACTTAAATTTAGTTGCAAAATCTACATCGGAAATAAAAGAAGTAATATCACAGAACGACGAAACGGAAGAAATCAAATACAGCAAAAACAAACATGACTATTTACTATATGTAGTTAGTGCAATAACAGTCGTCTGTCTAATTCTATTCATGACAAGTTGGGTGGAAAAACTACCTTGGTGCGCTGACTTGCGCACTGCACAGCGGGAACAAGCAAACGATCGCAGACAAGAGACACAGTTTGTACAACTTCCGATTTCCGAGCAACCCGACGTAACTGAAGGCCAAAAACCAACCCTCAGTTCCGGACACACACCGAGAGACGTAATCAAGCAGGAAGCCCTAATACCACGGAGCACGGCATATTCCG